AACTTGTCTTCTGTGGGTCAATAAGACCTCCTCTTTGCTCCAAATGTTGATACGCCTGTGCAGCCTTTGTGGGGGTGACCCAGGGAGAGAGTGGGACAATATCCAGAAGCAGGGCCTGCTTCACTCACTTCTGCTGAGACTTCTGTGTTGCTAGCAGCATTCCCTCATGATCCCAGACTGTCATCTGCAGGTTCTGGGTGGCCAACACCAGAGGGGTGAGCAGAGACGAGTCCTAGACACAGAAACAACTGCCAGGTGGACGACTCAGGCAGAAACATGGAAACTGCCCCGTTGCCAAACACACTGGAGGCTTCAAAGGCAACTCTTGGCAGGGTTTGTGGGGGTGGTGTGCTGGGTTATTCTGGGATTCACTGCCACTACACTCTAACCATTTGGGAGAACTAGCCTGATTTGAGACATACTAGATTTTGTTAAATTTGGATCCAATTAACTTGGAATCTGTGCTCCCATGGTCAGAGATTTGGGGGGAATTATCTTTTTCTTGTCTATGAAGAAACAAATCAGAAGTACAGAAAAAATGGTAAGAAGGATGTTCAGCCTTTGTAAAGGAACAATTTATTCTTGCATTCTAACAAAATATTTATTGCCCTAAGAAAAAGAATTAGCAATAAATGCACTGATAGCTTGTAGGGGTTTATGGTTTCAGAGAAAAAAAAATTTTAAACCCTCAATCCTTTTCCTGCAATTTGGTTTGAGGATAGTTCCAAACTCCTTTCTAACCACTCCCCTACCTATAGAGATTATCTCTTTATTTCTCTCAAGCAGACTTTGCATGGTGAAACAATACTAGGGAAAGCCAGGTTGTCCTTTTTAAAGGCTCCCCAAAGCATCCTGGAATGGACAAATTTTCTTTCTCCTCTCCAAATAAGTGTCAATCATCAGGGCTGGTGTGGATGGTCAGGATATGGCAGTGGGAATAGAATGGGGTGGAAAGGGAAGGGCTTTTGCCGAAACCAGTCCCTCTCCTTTATCTGTTCCTAATCCAAGAGCTGCTGGAACGTGTCTCTCAGAGCACACCTTGGTCCTTTTCCTAAGTAAGCCAAACTTGGAAGTGGCTAGCAGGCCTAATTGTGCCTCTGTGGGATCCAGATTCTGGAAGGAGACAGAGAGGTCTGGAGGCCTCAGACTGGAGAGCCTGATGGATTAAATCCAAGCCTCAAGCAGTCCCAAAAAGCTGTCAGGGTGCCTGGGCAGAGTGGAGCCAATCTGGACGATGCATTCCAGATGGTTTGCCTTCCTTCCTTGAGTTTGGGGCCAGTTGGAGCTCCCGGGCGGTCTCCCAAGGTAGACCCCCTGGGAGCTCAGGGCAACTGTCCAGCTGGGAGGGACCAGGCTCAGGATCACTATGGCAGGCTCACAATTAGAGGGAAGGGCCCCTCCTTTGTATGGAGCATCTGGATATCATTTTTCAGGCCATTAAAAACACTAACTCTACTCTGCTAAATGCAGCCAATTCATGAAATAGAAATAAGGGGGTGGGGGGAGAGAGAGAAAAGAAAGAAAGAAAAGGAAAAGAACAAATGAACGAATTTGGAGGACAATTCCAGGCCAAGCAGTTGCCCCAAAATAGATCCAAATAATTTGGGGCTACATGATATGGTGAAGCTCAGAGAAGGGTTCCAAAACTTTCTAATAGGTATCTAACCACCACCCAACTCCACTTCCCAGCTTCACCAGCTCACGAACAATGACACCACCAACTGCAAAGACTCAAGGGCGATGCCAGGGCTTTGCAATATATTTTACCTTTTGCATTTGTTTTTTATTTTAGCTTGTGAAAATTGTACAGGGAGATGCTGAAGATTTTCTTGCATGTACAAGGCTTTCAGACTAGGGTATAGAAAATTAGCATGAGACAAAGAGAAGGGAAGGAAAGGGAAAGGGAGAGTGCATGAGAGTGGAAAGAAGGAGCAGACCTCTGCCAGCCACCTGAGATTTCCCAGAAATTCCCAGACTCCATGGTCTCTGAATCAGAGGTGGCCATGACTGCATGTTTTACTATGAAGAGGAGGCCTATTTTCTCATGGTCCTATTGCAGCCACATGGTTGAACAGCAACCTGAGGTCAAGCGCCAATGCAAAGGCCCTGGGAGGAGATAGGAGGTGAGGCACGTGCTTCTGCCCCATGAGTATACAAGGCTGGATGGGAGAGAACCAGACCCTGCTCTGGGAAATTCTGGTTAATGAGGTAGCAGGTCCCAGGGCTGGGGAGCTTCTGGCTTACTAGACAAGACTTATCACAGAGCAGCATGCAGTAAACAATTCCAAGGGAAAGGAGTCCACAAATATTGAGGGGACACAGTGAAGGAGGGAACAGAACAGGTAGGGGTTACTCTACTTCTTGAAAAGAGTTGATCAAAGAAAATACCCTTCAATTATACTCAAAAAAAAAAAAAAAAGAAGAAGAAGAAGAGAAAAGAAAGCAAACCCTTTCCAGTGCAATAATCTCACAAAGAGGAAGTCCAGGTACAGATCCCCAGCCATTCCAATGTCCGTTCTGCTGCTTTTGGAACTGCATTTCAGTGAAACTATTCTGGATGCACTTCCAGAAGGTTGGTATCAGAGAATGAAAATCTTACACATCCAGTGAATCTTCCAAAGTCACCATGTTTGAGGAGTGGAAACTTACTACTCTATGTCCCAACTCTGATCTACCCGTGATGGTAAAGATAGGTTTCCTAAAATTTTTAAACTAGTCCAAGTTGGGAGAAAATAACGACATTCAGTACATAAATGTCCATTGTAAATATATGTCATTATACAAAAATAAGCCATGAATAATCAGAAACATAAATCTATATGCTGCAGACTTGTGGCGACACAGCCCCACATGGCATATTTACATGTTCCCAATGGCTCACTCTTGCCAGGTTGTCAGGACTCAGGTGAGAGTACAGTTAACCCCATGATTCAGAGACCTCATTTGACCCTGGTCCCCCTGGATGGCTCAGCATGCAAATCAAAAATCTTGAGGCTCAGACCCTCACCTGTCTTGACAAGGCTTTTCTGGGCTGCCAAGTAACTCCCAGCTGTATGCCAAGGTGTAATTAGTTAAGGTTGATCTCACTCATGGCAGCTCTGCTGCAAAATGCCAGTCCTGTTCATGGCTCGCCACTGGGCTCTGTGCTTGTCTTCTTGGGAGTTGTACCTCAGGTCTACTAACCACTGTCTTCACTAACAGTACTAGGACACTGACAGATTCTCAAATGCCATTAACAATACTTTTCTGACACTCACCTACCCACCTCATGGTAATGGAGACATGTCACATGTACCAGCCAATCCTTCTGAAATCATATTGATATAAGTGGCAGGCACACAATGAAATGACAGGCATTTTTACCTCTAGATTTAAATGGAGGTGATTTGGTATCACTTCCTAGACCAGGAGACTCATGTGGTGAAGAACTTCTCCAGAATGAATGTTTCTTGCTCACTTGAAGAGAAACTTTCTCAAAAGATGCAGACAAGGGGCACCTGGGTGGCTCAGTCGGTTGAGCATCTGCCTTTGGCTCGGGTCATGATCCTGGAGTCCCAAGATCAAGCCCCTGGTCAGCGGGGGGATCTGCTGCTCCCTCTGTCCCTCCCCTGGCTCTGTCTGTCTCTCAAAAAAGTAAATAAAATCTAAAAAAAAAAAAAAAAAAAGAAAAAAAAGAAAAGAAAAAAGGATCCAGACAAGTGTTGCTCTAATTCTCTATAGGTAGCGGTGTTAGCTGTTCTCGTCTTGTCCATACCTGGTGATTGGCCACATAGCTCCTCTGTACTCAGGTTCTTTCCTCCTGTGTTTGCACTTCTCCTCTGGGACCCATGCTTCTCTGCGGTGTTGCCCAAGTTGAATGAGGGAGCCCAGGATTCTCCCAGTCAGACACACCTGACACTGGCCCTAAATCAGCTTTCCTAGGGAACAGAACATATAGGTGCAGTGCATCTCAGCGCAGCCCCAAATTCACGGCCACCCAGTCCTCACACTTCCTTTCCTGGAACTGCCCATGAGTGCTACTTGAGATGGTGACTCCAGTGTTTGCTTAGGAAGAAGATGCCTGTGGAAACACTCCATGATGAAAACTGGAGACTTGAGACTCCGTTTCATAGGGGTTTGGTCTAGATTTTCTAGGATAACTCACCACACTGGGGGAAATGAGCTCATCTGGTCACTGACCTGACAGATGGCAATGACTCTGGTCAAGGGCGCCAAGGAAAACTCTCCAGAAGACAGCCACTCCTTTGCGGCTTTGGTGGCAGTGCCACAGGGATGGGTCTGTCCGCCAGTAACCTTCTCATATCCACAGAGTGTAAATATCAAAAGAAGCCACACCCCCTGGGATCTGCATAGGGGATGTCTCCATGGGTGTCTTGACCTGATTTGAGTCAGTAAAGAATCTTTTAAACCAAATCCCATTTGAGAAATGGGTGGCTGTTCTTAAAACTCTGACTGGGTAGAGAGTCCATCCTGGAACCTCAGAGCTGAGGAAAGCTGGCTGAAAATAGCAAGACTCATCCAAGAACCTGTGATGGAGGCACACCCATCCTGTACTTGTGGCTGGCTGCCAAAGTAGATTGGCTCCAGGTGAGTCACTGGCAAAGAGCTCTCCTTCCTGATCTGCATCAGCAACCTGTGCACGGGTCATGAGCTGCTGGAGCAAGGTCATGGTGTAGAGTTGGAAGGACACCAGGAGGCTTTTGCAATCTGATGATATTCCTGGGCTCAATGAATTCTTCCATCCAGTCTCCTACTTCCAGGAAGCTTGCTCCCCTGGCTTGTCTCCAGGTGCCTTGATGGGCCTTTCATTTGACACTGAGCGGCTAACTCTACACTGCCTCTGTCCCTGCCTCCGTCCAGGAGACCTTGTTGTCTTGCTAGCTGGCCCAAAGGATCATCACAGTCTCAGCTTCCCCTCCCCCACTCACACAGTTTCTTTCACTTGTAAATAAGAAGTGAGATTATCCTGTAAACTACTCTAGGAAGAAAACACACATTTGTTGCTACCAGGAATATCCAAATTTACTTTAATCCATAACAATTCATGATAGGGGGGAAAGTAATTTTACATTTCTAAGAGTCTTCTTTCAGATCATTCATTTCACCCTGGTAACCCTTAGGACTAGGTAGGCGCTAGCCCAATTACCTCCATTCAATGCTAAGAATAACACAGCCCCACAGTGATTCCTTTGAAGGACTCCAGAAAATTGGTGACAACACTGACGTTTGGTCTCCTGCTTTTCATTGTGGGGTTCTTTCTACCGACCTTCCTTAATTTATTTATTCAGTGTAGCAACTAAAATGAAAAAGTTCCTAGCACATGCCATGGAAGAAACAGGTTTCTAGTCTTCTCTCCCACTGTCTGCCCACACAAACCATCTGTCCAGCCACACCAAAACAGCATCACGCTTTCTGCCTCAGCACCTTTGCTCCTGCCATGTCACTTGTTTGAACGGCCCTCCCCCAATTCTGTGTTCAGTGAAACTTAATCATCCTTTTAGTCCAAGCTCAACTGTCCTCTGTTCTATGCTGTCCTCCTGATTATTGCAGCAGGAAATAATTGCCCTTGCTGGGGGTGCTATTACTTAAAAAAAAAAAAAAAAAATGCAACTTTGAGGCTATCGTATATTGCTTTGGATCACAATTTTTTACAAGTGAATTTTATCCCCCCAAGTAAACTGTGGGCCCAGACAAGGCAGAAATTGTGCTCCCCACATTGTCTTACATATAATAGAAGCTCAGTTTTTATTGGATAAGTGAGACATGGGGACTTTATTTATTTTTTTAAAAATCATTCTTTTTTTTTTTAAGATTTTATTTATTTATTTGACAGAGAGAGAGATCACAAGTAGGCAGAGAGGCAGGCAGAGAGAGAGGGAGAAGCAGGCTCCCCACAGAGTAAAGAGCCCGATGCAGGCCTCAATCCCAGGACCCCGAGATCATGACCTGAGCCAAAGGCAGAGGTTTAACCCACTGAGCCACCCTGGCACCCACATGGGGACTTTAAATGGCTTCTCCAAGGTTTCACAGTATTGGGACTTGAATTCAGAACTCCCAAATCTGGTCCTCATGTTCTTTCTACCATGGCATGCTAAAAGGAACATGGCTTCTACTGTGAGGCGCTTTTCTACAAGTCAAAAATGGTTGAAAACCAGCTATCCATACAACTCAATCTAAATAACCCAAAGCATAGTGAGCTGCTCAGAAAGAACAGAATAGTTTAAGTGGTTGGGCTTGAAAACCTGGACTTCCTACGCTATTTCTAGCATGAAATGAGTAGCTCTCTCCCAAAGATATATGGATAGCTGGCTTTCAACCATTTTTGACCTGCAGAAAAGCTTGAGTCAATGTGAGAATGAAGTATGGCGGCCATTAAGGTGCCTCCATGGACCACATGAAGCAAAGGATGAGAGGGTGACCCAGCATTGTCATCTTTCCGTCATCTGCATGCCATTCTCCAGCAGCACTGACTAAGCACACTCTGTCTGCCCACGCTGCGCTGGGTGATGGGGGTACAGAAGTAACACAAAATCTCTACCCTTATGGGATGCCAATCTAGTAACCATCTATGGCTACTATAAACAATTTAAGTAAAAATCTTAAATTTACTAGACAATGTTTCTCACTCTTCCTTTTGTCTTATCTGAAGAATTAAATTTAGAGTAGAACTCCAGGCATCATTCTGTAAATGACATGTAAACTCAATCTGAATGCCAAACTGTAATAAAATAGAGACAATTATGCTTATTCAGAACATCTCAGGAAGCTGTTTGGGGTGGGAGATTTCCAAGGTACTGCTGAGGCTCCCAAAGGGGCTGCTCAAAGAACAAGAGAAGTTTACTCACCTGCCATCAAAGAGGATTGGGTGGAGTTAACAGCTGAGCTCTTCTTCCGTGGAGCACAGGATACAAGTTTGGGTCAGAACTAAATTATTCAAGCCAATAGAAAGATCCTATCCTCTTTCACTTGTGGTTGTCAGGCTCTCTTAAGTAAATATGAAGCACATATTTAAAGAATCTGGGTTTGAAGCAATACCAGACTGGCTCATTAAGGCATCTATCTGCCTCAGTCTAGTCTTGTTTGTCTGTATCATTTTACTTCTCCGGGGGAATGGACCACTCCTTGGGCACTAGCAGAAACCACAGTGGAACCCAGTCTTTCATCCTATGCATTAACATCCCATTGCTAATAGCAATTCATGCCATTTTTTTCTTTATTAGTGACAATTATCTGCATCGCTCAAATGACTTCCACATACAAATTAAATATTAGGATATTAGATAAACAACATCAGTTTTCAGAAGGCCATACATCTTTGAAGTACATAAGAGATTCAAGGAATCAAGCAAAGACCAACAGCCTACTTCCTACCAGGCACTGTGCTAGGTACTAGATGTCCCTGTTGGTAAGACCAAATATCATTCATTCAGAAGACTACTCTGATAAACAAGCCAAGAGATGTTTTTGTGGAAAGATAAAACTGATATTCAGGACAACATCTTTACAAAACTATAGACATATCCTAAATAGCTCTAGCTCCCTTTAAAGAACTCACAATGAGTTCTTTCTCCATGCAGTTACCTAAATTGCTATTGCATTTATTTTGTTCATGTCTGTGTCACTTATTGGTATGACCAATTTATAACTCAAAGAGTAAAGTACAATTTCCTCTTACATGTTCTAAAATTACATTTTTCAAAGTTCACGAGCTCCTTCTCCCTCTTTAGTTTTAGTGTTGGATAATCTGGTGAGTCATTTCTGATTACACAGTATATGAACTTCCTATTTTCATAAAATTTAATCACGTTCCTGTTCAGTCTTCTTTCCAAAGTGCTTTACCCCAGGCAGTAGGTTGCTTGTCCTCAAGTCATTTCTGAGGCCTTTCTGGAACTTTCCTAGTTCTTCATGTTTGTATTGATGTGTATGGTTTCCAAGAGTAGGCAATAAGCGGGTGAGGTGTAGGCTACCTTGATTCTATATATATCCAAGTTGATGCCTACATAATTCTTTAATAATAAACAAGCCAGTATCTCACACAACCATTTGTCATCAATCCATGTTTCCTATCCAGACATTGCCTTGCTGTCTGCACTTCCTTACTGCAAAAACAAATAAACAATACAGCCCTACTGCAGCAAACACCTGTCTAGAACATTCCTTTAAAACTCCTTGTCTGCTGCTGCACTCTCTTCTCTGATTTTGGTTTTTTATCTACACTTAAGCACTCATCTATGTGCTCAAAGAAAACAAACAAGCAAAACAAAATAAAAACCAACATATCCCTCCTGCCGTCCTGCAAAATACCAAACAACAAACCCTCTCCTTATTCCCCATGCATTTCCATATTCTCTTTAACGTATTTCTACTCCCTCACTAAACTCCATTTTCTCTTCTGCACTGTAATGGTTCTTTTTCATCTTTTTTTTTTTTTTCCCCCACAGTGTACATGTTAAAAACACAACAAAAAGAAAGACTTCTCAGTCTCTGGCTAATGTGTAGCCAGTGCAGTGAGGAGAAAATAGGTCTCACAAGCCAAATAAATTTTAACAATTAACACTGTCTTCTGGGCATGGAACTTAAAAATATAGCTTTTGACATTTCATGCTTCACAAATGTCAATTGTGAAAGTTGCATTTAGGTAATCAACTGCTTTTAAACTAGACTCTCTACAATGTTAGATATGATTTAGCATGGCACCTTGTGTGTAGGAAATGTATGATAAATAATTGATGAGGCTTTACTCTAATAAATACATGAGAAATATTGTACTATCTTGCTGATTATACTGCTTAATGCAGATGTCTGGTGGAAGTTTAGTTAACTCTGTGAATGTTTTTGATGGATGAATGGAAATCATGTGGTGGACTGATGAAAAATGGATAGAGTGTATGGGTTTCAAATTTTCAGGAGGTAATACTCCCTTTGGGACCATCTAGATAGCCTGTGGTCTAGTATTCTATAGAATGAATACGAATATGACAGCAACATACATTTAGAAAAATTAATTAGTTCTAGAAACTGATGCTTTTAAGTGTTTCTTTAGCAGGTCTTCAAAAAAGGCAGCACTGTACCCATGCAATAGGAAAAGCTTTAATAAAAAAGCAGATGAAAATCAGTAGTACAGGTGCTTCAGAGTTTCTTCAATCTTTCACTGAACTGCTGTCAATTCTAAATACTTTTTGTCTAGTTTAGAGAGCCGTGACTGGCCTTGAAACTTCCCAGAGAAAGCCTCTACTGGGTGTTCTTTTTCTTTTTCAGATTTTGTATTTATTTATTTGACAGAGAGAGAAAGAGAGAGAGTACGCACAAGCTGGGCGAGCAGCAGAGGGAGAGGGAGAAGCAGGCTCTCTTCAAGCAGGGAGCCTGATGTGGTGCTCAATCCCAGGGCCCTGGGGTCATGACCTGAACCGAAGGCAGATGCTTAACCAACTGAGCTGTCCAGGTGCCTCTCTACTAGGTTTTCATCTTGAGTTTTCTAGTGACAGGTTCAGTGCCAGTTGGGCTGTGTAAAGATGTAGGTGGGATCTTTGCCCTTACATGATCAGGCCACTAAGCAGGTGGTCTCATATTTCACTGAATTGGGAATGAACACAGAATTCAGAGGGACAAATGTTGACTCAAGCACAAGGATGAAGATTGCCAAGTCTAATATTCTAAAATATGGAATTAGTCAATGGCTAGGAACTCATCCACACATCAGTCTGGAAAGATAAGTCAAATACAGAATGTTTTCTTTTTCTACCTTAAATATCTGCACTAACTGACTAGACAGTACCATGCCAGTTGCTAATTTTAGAGGCCTTGGACTTGTTTTTACAGTATAGACATAAACTAAATATGAGGTCCAAAAAGGCGAGTTTTTTTAGCACATAACTAAAAGTCCCTGTCAGAAGCTGTCTCTTGTTAATGAGAAGACTGTTGGAATAGAAGAATGTAATAAAAACCAACTGTCCTTCCCAGCTGACTTAATTTTTGAGGAGACCTGAAAAAACACAGACATGTGACCCGTGGCTTGAGAGAAGCCCAAACTAATTCCTCCAACATATTTATATTCAAGCTTGACCCTGAGAAGATCTTCATTTTCTGCTCCAAGAACGCTATAGCAAATGCACCTTCCTCCTGACTGGGCCTCTGAAAGGCAGTATGTCCTCCAGGGGCAATGATCATCTCAGAGCAGTCCATATAGGTTCTATAAATCTTCTACAGAATTTAATATCCCACCAGCTCCTATTTACAAAGCTCTTTGGTACTTGTCTGCAGACTTATGGTTCAGGATGAAAATGCTTAGGATATATCGTCTCCCAGAATGTTCACTGTTTTCCTTTTGCTGTTTAGAAATAGGAAGCTTATCAATTTTTTAAAAGATTTTATTTACTTAATCATTTATTTGAGAGAGAGAATGAGAGAGTACAAGCAGGGGGAGGGACAGAGGGAGAGGGAGAAGCAGGCTCTCCACTGAGCAGGGAGCCCGACGTGACACTTGAACCCAGAACCCTGGATTCATGACAAAGGAAGATGCTTAACCAACTGAGCCACCCAGGAGCCCCAGAAGCTTATTAATTTAAAGCAAGGGTCCACAGAATATGCATCATCCTTCAAGTAATTTGGTAATACCTACCAAATTTTAAAGCGGGGAGAGAATATGGGGAAGATGAAACAGGTAGCAGCACAGCTTTAAATCTCCCCAGGTCCCTTCACAAAAATAGAATAACTAGACAGCAAAACCAAAGCCCCTTAAATATTTATAGGAAAGCTAGGCGACAAAGTATCCCCATGAATTTCAAACATAAACAGACGGGGATAGCCACAAGACCTGCAAATTATCAGCACCTATGTAAGAAGAAGCAAAGGGAAGACACACAGTGTATCCAGAAGCTCTGAGAGCAGGGAAGCTTAAGAACAGCCAGCAGGTATTCACTGGAAAGCACGGTGGGTCAATGTGATGAAAACAGCTAAGTCTAGAAATTTGTACTTCATGGTGGGTGACTGCATGGAGCCCGCAGTAAGAAGGACTGAATGGGTTGAAGTTGTGTCAACCCTATGAACTCTTTAGACTGACCAGCCAGGGCATCTTTCCAAGAGGGCCCGCATTGAGGAGGAACTTGTGGGAGTAAAACCAGAACTGAGCTGGACTAGGACAAGAGAGACAAAAGAAGAGAAATTTCAGATAAAAATGGGGAGAACCCAGCCAGCCACCTTGTTCTTGAGCACTTCACGAAAACAAGAGGGACCTCCATGAAGTCAGTTTTCCTAACTTCTTAGTCATGCCTCTAACCAAACCATGATTCTTTCTAAAAGTTCAGGAAATCTAATTTTACATAGAAATGAACAACAGAAAAAAATGAAGTTCAAATTTCACAGAAACATTAGGAAAAAAAGAAATGAAGGGGCAGAATGATATTCCTACAGACAATGAAATCACTTCAGAAAGGCAAGTCCTTAAACAGGATCAGAACAGTAACCCACCATTTCAAAATGAAGTGAAAGACATTAGGAAAGTTACACATGAAGGGATAACATTAAATCCAAATGAGGAAAAAATCAGAAATGAGGAGACAGAACTCAGAAGAGAATTAGAAATAAAAGAAAAATTTATTTCAGAAGTAAAAATAAGATCAATTCCTCATTCCCATTTATAAATGCACCAAAAGTCACAAAACACCTAGGAATAAACTTAACCAAAGAGGTAAAAGATCTATATTCTGAAAATTATAAAACACTTATGAAAGAAATTGAAGAGGACACAAAGAAATGGAAAAACATGCCATGCTCATGGATTGGAAGAAAAAATATTGTTAAAATGTCCATACTACCCAAAGCAATCCACACATTTAATTCAACCCCTATCAAAATAGCACCAGCATTTTTCACAGAACTAGAACAAACAATCC